TAAAAAAACTATTAAATTAAGATATAATTTATTAACTTTTTAAGGTTTTCTTCGAAATTCAAATTCATACAATTATTAATCAAAATGATTATATTTTAATTTACTCCTCCTTTATAGCAAAGAAAATTGCAGATTGTTGACACTAATTTTTAAAACTTAGAAATAAATTTTAACTAACATATTTTTTGAGGACTCTATTTTTGTGAAAAACTATCAAATTTTTAATTAAATATTTAAACTAACTTTCCACACTATTTTTTATAGAAAAAAAAATCCAAATTATTTAAGCACTTAGGAATTTGTTTTGCGGAAAGTTTGAGTAGTATAGGACTATTTGCGGGGAATGAATACATTTAATTGTTTAGGACTCTTTTTTGGTGAGAAGTTATCAATTTTTTCAAAGTAAATATTTAAACTAAATGATATGTTAATTAATAACATAATTGGAATTTCAAATTATGTGAACACAATTAAATATGAAAATTGGGCGATTAAATTTTAATTAACTATACACTATATATATATATATATACTCATGTTGAAGGAGATCTGTAAAAATAAGTAAATATTAAAAATCGTAAGTAAAACTGAATTTAAGAATATGTCACACTACATTTTTAAGATAATGCTCCATAAAATTAGGAATAAAAAGAATATTTGAAAAAGAAAATTGAAAAAAAAAACGATATTTAAGAATTTAGTAATAAATATGTAATTATTTAAACATGATTCTGTTCTCTCATTTTTCTTTGCATGATCTCTCATGTACATTAACCAACAAACCGTTTGAAACATTCAAATAGGGATGTGGTGTCTCTGCAAAATATTGTCACACACTTAATTTCTTTAAGAAACACGTTGATCATGCGCAGGAAAAAACTTTGCTATTAGAAGTGATTAGAATTTGCATTATCATTTTAAACAAATTCATGTGGTCTATTTCATTTTGATACCCACGTAATTTTATTTTAATTAACAATAGTTATTTTTGAATTTGAATTTAAAGTTGTTACTTAAAATTGTTCTACCCATTATCTCTATTCTCTATATATACATAAATAAATTTCAATCAAAAAAATTAATGGGTCTATTCTTCTTCAAATGTGTAATGTTATTTGTTGAATTATTATTTTCATTATCAAAGTGAAAATCTACTACACATCATGATGATATTTTTAGATCTACAATATCTTATTATGATTTATTTAGTTCTTTTAATTCAATTTGATTTGTTTCTATCATATTTTGTACTTAAATTCTTTAGATCGAATGAGTTTCTATGTTTATCTGATTTACATTTGTAATTGAGATTAAAACTATCTGACATAATTTCTTGGTATTTTACTTTTTTTAGTAAAAATCTAAAAATGTTCTATTAATTAACTTTATTCTTTTGTGTTTTGCAGATTTTTGTACAATGTTAACTCTAGGATTGTAAGTAATATATAGCCAATATTGCCTATATTGCTTTGCCAAAACAGATTATAAACCATGTAATTAGTTATTTTATAGGAGCTTATGAGAAATTTAATTCATAATATTCATATGGTGTATCTTTTTGCATATCGATTATTCTTAAGACTCATATAGAATAAGTATTTGAGTTGAATACTTCTATTAAACAAATGTTATCTACTTAACACTCATGTATAGCAATCCATAAAAATGATACTAGAGTTATTTATTTATTTATTTGAATTAATTTATTTTAAATATTTTTAAATCAAAATAGCTTTTATGATTTATATAATGGTTGGTTTAACTAAAAAAAAGTCCTTTATAATGGTTGTGATTATAGTAAGATAAAAATTTAGATATTTTCTACTTATTTTTTTTTAGATCAAATGAGTTTCTATGTTTTTTTGGATTACAAATGTAACATTTGATGATTTTTACGATAATTAATGTTTTTTTTAGAATTGTATGTTATTTTTATTCAACTTTATTGAAGTTAATATAATGCTTTCTTAATTCATTATTTCTTTGTTAATTTTTAACACAGATCATAGATACTAACATGATTTTTATTATAGAATTATTGGTCATATCTTCACATATATTAAAATGCTTTTATATGTGCAACTGAAAAATTACTATGCTGGAATATATGATAAACTTTACAGTCTTGAATATGGGTGCAAATTTATACAATATTTATCAATTTATGTGTATAGATGTATATGTGTGTCACAGTAGTGGGTGAAGACATCAAAATTATTAAGTGAAATATTAATATAATAATGGTGCTTAACATGTTTTGAACGATATAAATGGTTAATATAATAATGAAATGACAATTGAGATTTTACTAAATATCTATAATCTTATTTGTTTAAATAAGTCAAATTATATGATTTAGACATTTTTTACTTAAATAATATTATCCACACATCGCGCGAATACGAATACGAATACTAATTTTAATAATAACACAATTATTATCTACTATGATTTATCAAATTACAAGAAGGTATGGTTGTTGAGAAAAAGAAATTAGGGGAATAGGCTTTAGAAGAAATAACTGAATTACAAATTATATAAAGACTTAGAGACTATTTATATTAGTTTCATAAAAATAACTAAATTACAAAAATTATCAAAATAACCACATGATCTTATGGATGTCCTTAAAGTCTTCCTTCAATGCTTTATTTAAGTCCGTCAACCTCATGACGGTTGAAAGAATGCTCCTTCATAAATTCATTAGAACATGTTATAAACTTAAAAAAAAATCTTTTTAAGGCACTTTAAATTCTGTAATTAAATAAAAAAGTTTTCATATCCAAGATTGTCTACATCTTTATTATATTCTTTGATATCAATTTTACTATCTCAACTTGAATCACGCCAACTAAATACTTTTGGAAGGACAAAGTAAATATATAAAATTTAAGGTGGAACATATCTGAATGGAAGTTAATTTAACCTTATGATATGATTTTAGATGCACTTCATCATTTAATAAAAATGAAGAAAAGTACATAACTTTTATTGGGAGGTCTGTCGGTTGAAGGATGCATGCCAACCAACTTTTACGTCATTATAAGATGATTGAACAAACTAAGTTATATATGAGCAAAACAAAAACATGACAATAAATTACTAATCAATCATTTTCTTACAATTTATTTTAGCAAGAAATTGAAAGAAAAAGACAAGTCTAAACTCTAATCTTATTATTAAAAACTACTACCTTTTTTCCAATATATATATTTGAAATATAATAGTAAGAGTACTATTAAAACAAACATGTTCAAATTCAAAAAAATTAATTAAAAAAATCAAGTGAAACACACATGTCCAAAATTCCAACTTTAGATATACACACAGATATTTAAACTTATATAAAACTAAACAAGTAAACTCATGTGTCCAAAATTTCAAGTAACACATGCAAGGTAATTCACGTGAGACACTCAAGTTGATTTATATTATGCATATATGACACATATTATGCAAAAAGTCTTGTTGAAATGACATTTCAAAAAATGTATCATGCAATACACGAATATGAATTTAGTCGGACTCCAATCCAATTGATACGGTATACATTCCATTCTCAATAAACTCTTTTCTCTCTTTATCCCTGAATAAATATAGAAAATTTGATTTTGTCAAAAACATTAACTTCAAACATTATAATTTATACATCTCAATTTAGTATACGTGCAAAAATTATAAAAGACATGTATAAGTTAAATGGCCATGTCAAAATTTTCACAGGAAAGTACAAGAGTTAAAACCTCTAAAAGCCCAATAAATTGGAATTCGGGTCGAAGCCCAAATTTGGCTCAAAAGGTCAAAATAAAAAGGAAAGCCCAAGGAATTCGGGTCCAAGCCCAAAATAAAAGTAGAAAAACAATGCGGTGAACGTGGATCGAACACGTGACCTTCAGATCTTCAGTCTGACGCTCTCCCAACTGAGCTATCCCCGCAATTTGATTACTATTCGTTTCATATTTTAATATTTACCATGTAAGACGCTGAACTTAAATATCAAGTTAAAACTTGTAGATTTACCAGTAAAATAATATATTTACTTATTCTCTTTTATTAAACTTTTCGTGTAAAACATTATATTATGTGAAGTTCTAATTTTTTTATTTTTTTATTTTGGTGAGGTGATTCAAGTTTGAAATATTAATCTAATCACTATCAGGTAACTCTTCTACATTATTTACTAATAATATTTTAAAGAGGGAGGCTTTTTTCTAATAAAATTTGACCAAATTTTAATATTATATTATAAGAAAAAAGAACAAAGTTTTTTTTTCTTTTTTTGCATGATACAAATTTCAAATGTGTACATATTTGAAGTGTTCCTAGTTAAGAGTGGCAACTGGCAACTGGTCTTTATTTTGGAACTCCTCCTCAGTTTAATTTTATTTTTTCTATAATTTTGCTCCATTTAATATCATCCAACTGCTTGGAAATTGACAATAAGAACATTTCTAAAATACGTTTTGCTAAAATACCACACTTTCTCTCCTTCCAGCAACCAGGGCTGGAACTATACAAGAGTTACTTAACATTTTTTTATCGAAAAATTACACTACATAAATAGATTAATATGTACCCCATGACCCCAACACTGCAAAAATAAAATGAAGAACATTTCTTAGCTAGTCTCCTTTTGGCTTATTGTTCGTTGCAAATATACAATTCGATCTCCTTACCGTCAAAATATAAAGAACGAGAAAATGATTGGAGTGATCTATAAACTTTTTAAACTATAACATTTAAATTGACACGAGTAATGTTAACAAAAGTGTACAAGTGCACTTTCTGAAGTTCTTTGTGCAATTTTCTTAATCAAATAAATAGAAGTTGTCCAACATATCTTTACCATGAAAATAAGCAAAATCTCTTAAATCAATATATTTAAATTACAATTGAAAAAAATCAGTTACATTTGTTCTTGACATTGAAAATGAAATAAAAAATGTGATGATATAATTAAAAAATCAACAAACGAAAAATAAATAAATAAAATCACTTGATTAATTCACAACCCTACAGTTCTTCCTAATCTCTCCTTGCATCCCAGTCATAACCTCTATGGATCCCATTTTCACCATTGCATCTGCAAATTTATGAGCCCAATTTTCACCATGAATCGCATTACTCCTCGCCATCCTAGCAGTTGAAGGACTGTTCCATAGCGTCTGATCTGAGGTTAACAGTCCTCTATTGTTCTTCAAATTGAGATAGTACTTATTGTCCAACCTATTTGGAGTATCAACATCAAGTGGAGCAATTAGATCGGTGATAGAAGGACGCGGACATCTTTTCATCAATTGTTGGGCTAATCTAGGATCCATTGTAGGATCTTGCGGATGAGTTGAATTGAAAGAGTAAAGTCTATCGGAAAATGAAGAACAATGTGATCTTCCAATAGAATGTGCACCCGAAAGTGTAACCATTTCATCTAAAGAAAGTCCTTTTTTTGCGAAATTTTCCTCAAGTTCTCCAGCATTTAAAATAGAGAATGAGTTCACCAACCACTCTTAAATTAACTCTCTATTCTTCATTTATAGAGAGGTGAATAGAACTACTATTCACATTCTCTATTTCACTTTTTCATTATTTTATTATATTTCTATTATTTTGTAATTAACACATTATTTTTAATATAAGGTCATTAATTAAATATCTAACATTCGTAATTCTTTTTAAATGTAGTATGACATTTTAATAAATATATTATTTGATATACACTACTTTCATCCCAAATTAATAATGTTTCAATTTTTTAAGATTTTCATCACTTTAATATAATTTGATATTATTATTAATTTTCACTATGAAGAATGCACAAAAGTATAATGATAAGATGGAAATTTTAATTTAAAAATATAATACATAACATAATAATTTAAATATAAGATAGCAATACATAATAATTTTATCGCAACAATAATTCACTAATCCGGTAGGTCATTTCCAGATTTAATAATATTCGGAAAAAAATTAGTGTATGATCCAGAGAATTGTTGCAGTTGTGCTCGTTGATTTATGTATTTTTTATGTAATTGTATTTCATTGATGATTTCACTTTTATTTGAATTGTCCATTAATTTGTATATTATATAATAACTTGCAATTTATGTTATTTAGAAATTTAGAATAAAATAAAATTTTATATTACGTAAAAATTATATAAAGTGATTATTTGAAGAAAAAAAGAAGGAGAAAGGATTTATATTATGAAATAAGGAAATGCAAATAAAATATAAATAATAATATAATATTGAGAAGAGAGAAAAAAATTCTTTTAGAGAGAGTAAAATAGAGAATTGGGTGAAGTTGATTGTCTGAAAAAATAGAGAATTTTATATTTGAAAAATAAAATAGAGGGTAGGGTTGGAGATGCCCTTATGCCTTTTCTTGATAAAACAAATGGAAGTTGTCCAATACACTTATCTTGACATTGAAAATGAATAAAAAAATGTGATGATACAATTAAAAAATCAACAAGAACAAAAAAAGTATCACTGATTAATTCACAACCCTGCAGTTCTTCCTAATCTCTCCTTGCATCCCAGTCATAACCTCTATGGATCCCATTTTTACCATTGCATCTGCAAATTTATGAGCCCAATTTGCACCATGAAATGCATTACTCCTCGCCATCCTAGCCGTTGAAGGACTGTTCCATAGCGTCTGATCTGAGGTTAACAGTCCTCTATTATTCTTCAAATTGAGATAGTACTTATTGTCCAACCTATTTGGAGTATCAACATCAAGTGGAGCAATTGGATCGGTGATAGAAGGACGCGGACATCTTTTCATCAATTGTTGGGCTAATCTAGGATCCATTGTAGGATCTTGTGGGTGAGTTGAATTGAAAGAGTAAAGTCTATCAGAAAATGAAGAACAATGTGATCTTCCAATAGAATGTGCACCCGAAAGTGTAACCATTTCATCTAAAGAAAGTCCTTTTTTTGCGAAATTTTCCTCAAGTTCTCCAGCATTTAAAGTGGAAGGGGGAAGGTGTGCGGTTGGTTCATCTTTAATAGATACTCTTCCGTCTCGACGACCTGATGGAGCTGAATACCTAATGCCTCCAAGCTTGAAAGCACTATCTCTTGCAGCAAATGCAATTATATCTGAACATGAAACTGTTTGTGGGCAAACAGATTCTAGCTCAATTTTTGCCTCATCGATCACTTCATAGCCTCGTAAGCTTGGATTATTTGCTGGATGTTCTTTTTCTGTTGGATTCCCTGGAGTTGGATCCAAAAGGATTGAGGCATCACATCCCTGAATTATTTAAAAAAAAATGAAGTTAGATATATTGTAAGTTGAACCAACCTTTTACTAATTTCAACACACAAAATCAAATAAATAATTGGTTGACTCTTTAAACATAAATAAAATGAGACGTACCCTAACAAAACAATCGTGGAAATGCATCCTGATGATACCAGCGCCAAGGCCAGGGTTACGAGACACGGCTTTGTTGACTGCTTTTCTGACAATGGATTCTGCATTTGGGCAACTTGAATGGTAGTAACCGGTCTTAAGAGATGCATTTGCAAATGCAAAAACAGTGAAAAAATATAACATGAGCAAAGTTGACAATTTAGCACTCTTCATCATTATGTGTTATAGTGACAAGAAGAAGGGATTTGAAAAGTTGATAAGCAGCGGAGTAATTAATAGTACTGTAGTTGGTTAATTACTATTTAAGGAAATGAACAACTTAATTATAAGAAGGTAGTGATGGAGGGGAAAAGAGATGGAGAGAGTATTTATAGTAAAGGAATAGAAGTAAAAGTCTTTGATTTTACTTGGTAACATAGATAGGTAGGTAACGCGTAATTTCAATAGCGACGACTGCTTCTAATTAATTAGGAGATAGTTTCAAGCTTTCAAAATAATTTTAATGTTTTGAATTATTTAATTAGTGGGAACTGGAAAATGGTCTCTATTTCCAGCCACGTTATTTTTAATCTTTATCTTCAAATAAAAGTATGAACAACAAAAAAATTGCAAGAGTATAGCCAACAGGCCGCTGTTCAATCAAGAAACCAACCTGGTGACTAGCTTAACACTAGTGGGCAAATTTTAATACTACTTGGATAAAATGGTGACGTGAGAAAGTACAAATTCTTATTTTGAAACAGTTTAGGTGTTTTGATTTTGGATTCATATAGTAATTATATCAAAGTATTTAGTTATTTTGTTTATTCAGATAGTATTCACGTCAATTTTTCGTGATAATAACAATGTGTGTTGGTATAGATTCTTCATTCTGCCATAACATATATAAAGTATTTATTTATTTTTCACACATTCAAAGACTAATTACAGTCTTTTTATGGATATATTTTGGACATTTAACTTTTAAAATAATATAATTACATATATAACACACACCATCAGGAAATATTACAACTCGATAGTAAATCTATTAGAGACTCAAACTAGATGAAAGCAACCTACTGAATCGATTATGAGTTCAAAACATATTATACCTTTTATTAAAATTATAGTAATTTTTCACATATATTTTCTTATATGCCCAGCCAATACGTTCTCCATCCGCCATCGGCGGCTACGTAAATACATTTTGGCTCTAATATAACACTACAATTTTTGTTAGTAGTATTGAATTGTTTCGACTACCATGACGCCACTCGCCAGCCCCACATATGAGAACCATAATTATAATATGATATTTAAAAAAAAAAACAAAAGCAAGAAAGGTAAGTATTAAATTAAATGAAATTAAAAAATATTAATGCTGGGTGTATTTGTATATTTGACCGTGTGTAAGCCAACAGGCTGTTCAATCAAGAATTTGACCTGAAGCTTTACACTAGTGGGTAATATTAACATTTTAGTTTAGCTGAGAAACAATTTGATTTTTTAAGACAATTTAGGTGAATCTACTCCATTGACCTTTAATATGAAAGCCAGCGCTTGATTAAATATTGTACTTAATTATTTTGACTTTTTTGTTTCTCTTCTAAAAGTGGTGTTCATGAGATTGTTTGGTCGGTTATTTTATAAAATTTATATCGTCTTAATTTTTTGGTTATTTTATAATATATAACCAATGTATTTCTTCGATATCGGTATGGGCAATTTTTTTTTTCTAACTTTTAAAGTAGGGAAAATTACACGGTTAAGCAAATTTATACTACTTAATTACTCCTCATAGCTATAGTTTGCTATAATTACCACTCGCGACTAACATTAACCATTAATTACATGGACTGACTTCGAGTTGTATAATTAGCCACATTTGTATAATTCGCCACTAACAATTCTTCTTTTGATTTGTATTTATATACGATGATTTATATTTGTATATGACTATGATTTCCTTTGGTTTTTCAATCTTGTCACCATATACATTCAATCTTTTTGTGTATAACTTTTTAAAGTTTGTATAAACGTGTAGTTTTTAGATTTTGTATAGTATAATTTATATAATTAATTTGTATAATATATTTTGTATAACTGTTTAAATTTCATATATTTATGTTTGTACAATTTGTTATTTCAAGTTTTATCATATTTGTATAATTCTAGACTTTATATTACTCAAGTATACAAAAACACGCGAATTATACAAATTTAGCCGCGAATTATACAAATGAGATGTGAATTATACAAATTATTTCCCTCTCTCACTCGCCTCTCTCCTCCCTCTCCCAATCTCGCTTCCCCTAACAAATGCATATGTATAATATACAATTATCAAACCGATATACATATACAATTAACCTCTCTCCCACTCTCTGCTTTCTCTCACTCGCCTCTCTCCTCCCTCTCCCAATCTCGTTGGCCATATATACAAATGCATATGTATAATATACAATTATCTAACCGATATACATATATAATTCACCTCTCTCGCACTCTCTGCCCTCTCTCGCTCGCTTTTCTCCTCTCTCTCCCAATTTCGCTCGCCTCTCTCCTCCCTATAACATGTAGCTACGAATTATAATTATCAAACTATAGCTATGGAGAGTAATTAGGCTACTTTTGAGTTGCTATATGCGATAGTTCCTCCTTAAAGTATCACCTCAAATATATTATTATTAAAATATTTCTTTCACAAATTGTTCTTGAAGAAGCAATTTGATTCTTCACCATAAAATCAAGAATGTAATACTTTATTGTCGTATTGTTTGATCTTAAACATTTAATGGAAGTGTTTGCATATATTTTACCGCATTGTTTAATGAAGTATCTATTATAGGATCTTTTAATTTTAAATCAAATTAATTAAAGGATAACTAAAGAGTAAAACTCAAAGTCGTCCATTCACTAGAGGTCTAGAACCTAAGTTATATTTAACATATTGTTAATATATAAAATATATTTACATACATGTAAGGTTATTCGGTTTGGTTCGATAATTTTTTTATTTTTATTATAAATTAAAAGGACAATCCTAATTGTTTGAGATAATTATACACTGTAAGTAATTCAAAGCTCTAGAAAAAGTTTCAGCGGCAATAACAAACAGAGCAGGAGATAAGGGGTCACCCTGCTTTAGTCCCCTAGAAGATTTGAAGAAACCATATCGAACTCCATTAATGATCACAAAATACCAATTGTTGGAGAGAAGTCTATAAACCATTTCAATAATGCCTCGGCAAAGCCCATTTTCCTGAGAACAGAGGTTAGAAAACTCCAAGACAATTTATCATAAGCCTTAGACATATCTAGTTTAATCACAACATTACAACTAGAATTCTTAGACCTTATATTGTGGATAATTTCTTGAGTAAGAAGAATATTCTCAGTGATTTGCCTACTTTTAACGAATCCAGATTGGTTTTCAGAGATAATTTTCGACAAAATCTTATTAATCCTTAGAGCAATGATTTTAGACAAAATCTTATTTGAGAAATTGCTTAAACTTATAGGTCTAAGTTTTGAGAAGCAATCAGGAGAGGTAACTTTAGGAATTAGAACTAAACAAGCATGTGTATAAAACTTAGTTAGTTCAGAACCTTGAAAAAAGGAAAGAACATAAGAAATTACCTCCTTCTTGATGATGTCCCAAGTGAATTGAAAGAAATGACCATTGAATCCATCCGGTCCTGCACAACTATTGGGATCCATTGATTCTATTGCAAACTTGATTTCATCTTCTGAAGGAGTATCAATAAGCTTTCTGTTGTCATCTTCAGTGATAAGATTATCGCAACCTCTAATGAAGTCTAAATTTATGTCTCTATGATGTTCCGTAAAGATCTGCCTGAAGTAATCTATGGCAGCTTCAGAGATATTGTTGTTCCCTTCCTGCCATTGACCATTTTTATCCTTAATTTTGTAGATCTGAGCCATTCTTCTCCTTGCTCTAATAGTACTATGAAAATACTTTGTATTAGAGTCACCATCTTCAGCCCATTTATGTAACACCCCGACTTTTCAAAACGTCTAAATTAACTCGTATCTTCATGGAAAGACAAGGAGGGTGAGTAATAAATTAAGAATCATGTGGTATGTCCTATTTTAAGTGTTCAAGTGTTGCATCTCAAGTTTTGAAGTTAGGTAAGTGGCAAAATAAAAGTTGGCGGAAGTATCGTAAGTTCCTTCTTAAAGATTTCTCTAAAATTTGGGTCAAATGTCTTGGAGGTTTTCTCCCAATCTATAAAGAGTTATGGGGCCCACAAACTATTGAATCGAAGGTCTACGAGTCTAGTTTCCAACGCATCAAACCGTTCATTCATACAACTTCAGAATAGAGAGATATTCGCATTTTTGTGGGACTGCGCAAGCAGGCACGTGGGGTGGGGCCCTAGGTCGGTGGAAAGTGTATATATCTTCTTCTTCGAGTTTTTCTTCATTTTAAAGCTAAATATACAGAGAAAACATAGAAACCCATTTTTAGGATCAAGTGAAATATAGATTTTCTCGACGTAAGTCCTTGACAAAAGTTGTTCTACGCGTTGGGCTCATCATCGTGGTATAATTTGTTTTATCGATTGCGTAGCATATCACATTTTAGAGTTGGGACAGCAGGGGTTTGAATATATTTGAAGGTTTTGAGGTGAATTACGAACCTAAGATCGAGGTAAGACCCTTCTTTCATCGACTCTAGCTTTTATAAGCAGCAAATAGCAATTTGCGACGGAAATACATATCTTTTATTGTATTGTCATGGTATCTTTTATTTTATGTGTTGATTATGGTCCTACCTTGTTGTAGTATCGAGGGAGTTATGAGTTAAAGTCTTTAGGCCACGTGAATTTAACGAAAAAGGTATGTTAAGGCTATTCTCTTCCTATGGCATGTTTCCTTAAAGCTCAAGAGCAATGTTATTGAGTTGTAATCGTTGTTATACTTATAGCTATTATTGTTTATTGTTGGCTGCTCGAGTGCGTATAATCCTTTCTTATCGAGATTCTTATTCAGTAGTAACATTCGTATGTTGGACACGACTTAGAGGCTATTTGTATAGGTTGTCTATAACTAAATTGCTCACTTTTAGCTGTTGGATTGTTATTGTTGCCTTTGGGCTATTATTGTTAGCTGCAGGAATGTGATCTATGCCTAGCAGGGTTATGTTCTGCCTACAAGGCTATATGGATGCCTAAAAGGGCTATGAGTTGCCTACGGGGCTATATTGATGCCTAGAAGGGCTATGAGTTGCCTACGGGGTTATATTGATGCCTAGAAGGGCTATGAGTTGCCTACAGGGATATATATTGACGCCTAAGAAGGTTATGTGCTTCCTACAGGGCCATGTTGTTGCCTAAGAGGGCTATGAGTTGTCTATAAGATATGTTGATGCCTAAGAGGGCTATGTGACTGCCTAAGAAGGCTAGGGGACTACCGATAGGGGTATACAGGTTGATTGGCACCTTCCGGGCTTATGGGGGCCTGAGTAGGTGGTCTTGTGTGCTGTTTGTACCTACCGAGCTTATGGGGGCTTGGTTAGGTTGTTGTTTTATTATTTTTGATAAATTTAGATTTAGAAGCAGGTCAGTACAATTATCGTATCCTTAATTTATTTATCATATTATTCCAGTATATCAGGATACCTCATCATAGTCTATTGCCTTTCATACTCTGTACATTATTTTGTACTGACGCCCCATTGCCTTGGGGGCGCTGCATTCATGCATGCAGGTCCTGACAGATGACTGAGTAGACCTCCATATCAGCAGAATTGACTTTTATCCGATTGGTCAGCCCCTTTCCTCCGGAGCTGCCAGAGTTGGGAGGTTTGTTACCTTTTGTTGTATATATTCTCATGGGTAGGCTGGGGCCCTGTCCCACCAATCTTTACTACTCTTAGAGGCTTGCAGACTAGTGTGTGGGGTTTTTAGCTACGTTATGGCCATGCTGGCCTATGTTGTTGGTTTGCTGAAGCTTGTGAGCTGTTTGATGTATTGTACTGATATTTACCTATTTTTAGTTTTGGTATAGATATCATGGTGGCCTCAATGGCCCAATCAGGACTTCTGTGCTAGTTGGATATTTCTTTATATAAACTCTTGGGAGTAGCTGGTTTTTTTGTAGATCTGTTGACAAGGGCCTTGCCGGCCGAGGGCTTAGTTTTAAGCCGAGATATACTTGTTTGTTTTCTTAATTGCATGTGACTGCCATGCGCTAGTAACAAATGGTTCAGCAGGGTCGGCTCGGGCCTGAGTTTTGACTTTAGGAGTCAGTTGCGCCACTTGAGTTTGGGGCGTGACAATTTAAGTCTAGTTTTTTGCCTAAGAATGGAGTCTTGCATTTTCAGTCATCTAGTGTATTCTGCTTGAGTCTTGTGAAGATTATGTCTATCATTTTCTGAATCGGAAGTTGAGTATTGTATTTCACAGGCAGCCAATTGAGTTTCAAACTCTTTGACTTTTTGAAAGACATCTCCGATGCACTCCCTAGACCATTTACTGAACTCTTTCGCCACTGCTTTGAGTTTTTGTTGTAAGATCCACATTGAGTTGCCATGGACCTCGGTTTCCCATACATTTCTGACTATGGAAAGGAAATCTTCTTGATCAGTCCAAAAGTTAAGAAATTTGAAATATCTAACCACCCGCTGATCATCAGAAGAATTATTAATCAATAGTAAATTATGATCAAAGCCTTTCTTTGCCAAATGTTCTACTTTAATATTGGGGAATCTGATTGCCCATTCTTCATTGTGAAGAAATCTGTCAAGCCTCATATGTATCCTAGTTGCTCCTCCTCTCCCATTACACCAAGTGTAGATATTACCTACAAAACCAGGGTCAGTCATGCCACATTCATCCATACAATTAATAAAATCAAAACAAGTATTTAGTCTAAAAGGTACACCCCATTTTTTCTCATCGGCTTCCATAATGGAGTTAAAATCTCCACCTATGACCCAAGGGCCATCAATAGTAGTATTCAGGTGTTTGAGTTTGTCCCATAAATATCTTCTTTTGCTAGCTTTAGATCTAACATATACAATAGTTATCCAAAAAGGGGTTGTGTCTCCATGTAAAATGACATGCATAGTAATTTGTTGCCTGCTTTTCGATACTATTGAACAAACTATGTTAGAGTTCCAAAATATCCAAACTTTACTGTGAGAGTTAGAGATGGCATAATCAAAATCAAGCTTTCTCCTAAACTTGTCTATTTTATCGCTTTTCAAGAAAGGTTCTTGTAAAGCTATAAAGTCAAGTTTATAAAGCCTGACTAATTGTATTAGTCTATTAAAAGCACCTCGGGAAGTTACCCCCCTTATATTCCATATAATGATCTTAATCATAAGGAAACTTCGGGGGAGTGAGCAACCACAACTTTATTTTATTTAGCTTCGGGGGCATCTTTGATTCCCTTTCTAGCTTTCCATTCTTTTTTATGCTTATTACCTCTTGGTGACAAACCTTGTTGTTGTATAGCTTGTTCTGTTTCCTGCATAACTGGATCTCTGTTGTCTTTAGGAACTGGAGCAAACACCTCAACGAGACTATCAACTAGCGGATTTTTCTCCAGTTCAAAAGCATCCAATAAACTCTCAGGAACATCTTCATCTGACGAAAAATCATCTACGTGGTCTACACTAATATCGTAATAGTGTTCCTGGTCGGAATCATACCCATTAAGAGGATCCTGCTTTTCTCAAATTTTTGGAAGGATGTACTCCAAACTTCCCAGGTCCACGACCAATTTTCCACCCTTTATTTGCAAATCAGCAGTTTCTGCGATACAAGGATACAAACGGCTACCTTTGGAGCTGCTTCCTTGACTATCTTCAACTTGTATCATTTTATCAAGAGTAATATTAGCATGACTTACCTGGTTATGGTTAGCTAAATCAATTGTCCCAACTTGTTTGGGTTTTTGTTTAGCCCATAACATTTTCTTGAGAACGACGGCTGAAAGTGTTTTCTTCTTCTTCTTCTTTTTGCTTTTCTTTTTTTGTCCCTTGGCTCCAGCCTTTTTTCCATCCTGCCTGTTGAGGTCATGAGTTTGCATTTCTGTCAAAATAGACTTAGTATCTCTATTTTCGACTTTATCCTCTTTATGCTTAGCCATAACTTTCTCTGTGACAACTCATTTATCCTTGTTGTCAGACCCTTCTGCTTGATCTTTATTACTATCATTTTTTCTTTCTTTTATTATGTTCTCCCGGTTATCTTTTATTATGTTCTCCCGGTTAGCATTGCCAAGCTTAGGAATCTGTTTGTTCGCCTTGTCATTGGTCTCGTTTTCTCCTTTTTTCAAATCTGGTCGTTGCATCAATTTATTATCCCTTTTTTGCTTGCCTGTGATTATGCAATTCTGCATATCTTTCCTCTGTTCCTAACCCATATTTCCAGTGCTAGTATTCTCTTGTTGTTTCCCTTTCCCTTTCTTGTCTCTTCTATTGATGACTTGTGTAAAACCATCCTCTTTGTTTCCCTCTTTGTCGTGCATAATTTCTTCAACATTGTTACTAGTACTACACATCTTCTCATTGTCATTACTTTCTTTCAGAGTGTTTTTGCCAATGATGACTGAATCTGTATTGTTTTCTTCCCTGTGACCCTCTTGTTCCTTTCTTCTTGCCATTACATTACAACTATCTTGACCATGGCCTTGCATTCTACATGATTTGCAAAAAGTTGGCACCCCTTCATATTCGAGTTTCTGATCCTGTCCTTTTAATCCAACATTTTCTCCCTCCAATCCTATCCAAACAGAATCTCTCAGAGGATTCATTAGGTCGACCTCTACTCGTACCTTAGCCATATTAGGTTGAGATCTCACAATAGTAGCCAAATCTTCTTTCAATGGAGTACCGACAATAGATAAAATTTGTTTTAGATATTCCCATCTAAAGGAATGGAACGGTAGATCGGGCAGAAGAACCCATATAGGAGCCAGAGAGGTCTCCTCATTTGGATCGAAATCAGGTGACCATTTGAATAATCTCATAAGAGAACCAGCAATCGACATGAATCTCTTGAAATAAACTGTATTAAAATCAACTTCGTTATTGAATTCTATGAAAACATGACGATAATCATATGCCCATATTCTTACTTTTCCTACTAGAGGTTGTTGTTCCAGAAATTTTGATCTAATTGCTTCGATTCTAGGTCGACCCATTGTAAACTTGCCAACCAAGGTCCATTTGCAATCTTGTGCCATAACCCCGTAATAATCTGAAGCTTTAAAAATAATTGCAGGCTTACCATTGTGCATTGTGTGTCTTGCTAGTACAGATGAGCTCATAGATTTGTTAGTGGTCGGAGGACCAGCCACTATTTCTGCTGCGGATTTCTTTGAATTAGAAGCTGCTGACGTAGTCGAAACTTTTGAGGGGTCCTTTGGTTGGGTTATTCGCTCCGTTTCACCAGCCGGAGGTGGTGCCATGGTAGTTGCTTGACGGAGATAGCTCTAAATCCGATCCAACAGGGGCAAAAAAATGTCGTTGAGACTTAAACGGTTCTTTTGTGTACGGAGAGAATTCACTTCTTCTTTTTTGTGAGGGCAATTGGTTTCTCTATGCATAAAAAAGGTCCCCAAATTAATCACCTTAGTTATGCAGATGACTTAGTCTTGTTCAATTCTGGTGATAAGTACTCCATTAAGTTGATTATGAAACTTTTGAACAAGTACCAATTGGCTTCTGGTCAGGAGGTTAACAGGGACAAAAGTTTTTTTCTGACCCACCATAAAATAGATAATCTTCTTAACAGAAGGATTAAAAGATGGACTGGGTTTACTCAATCCTCTTTCCCCTTTAATTATTTAGGTTGTCCTATATATACTGGTGCTAAGAAAATTTGTTATTTCTCTGATATTTCCAAAAAGATTCTTAACAAGATTGCAGGTTGGCGAGGAAGGTTACTTTCCTCAGGAGGTAAAGCTGTAATAATTAAGCATATTCTTCAATCTCAGACTTTGCATATTTTTGCTTCTTTGATGCCTCCAAGCACTGTTATCAAAGAGATAGAAATACAGTTTGCTAATTTTTTTTGGGGACAGAGAGATGGAAAAAATAGCTATCATTGGGCTTCCTGGAAAAACATGTGTTTTCCTACTAAGGAAGGTGGTTTGGGATTTAAAAGCTTAATAGATATTTGTCACACTTTCTCAGCTAAAAGGTGGTGGAGATTGAGGACAAAACTTTCTCTTTGGTCTCTTTTTTTAAAAGTTAAGTATTGCCAAAGGAGTAATCCAAACTTTAAGGTAATTGCTACTAAAGATTCCATCGCTTGGAAGGACTTGCTTTGCATGAGAGACAAGATGGAACAACATATCATATGGAAGATCAACTCAGGTAATAGTATGTTCTGGTGGGATAACTGAACTCAGGTAAATTCTCTTTTTCACATAATTAATCCAAATCCCAAACCTGATAATGTCAAGGTTAACACCTACATCACTAACCATCAATGGGACTTGGACCATATTCAATATCCCATACCAATAGAAACCTTGAACTTAATCAAAGGTACTCCAATTGGCAATAGAGACACAAATGATAAAGCTATCTGGAAATTAAGTAATAATGGTTATTTCTCTTGTTCTACAGCCTTTGAAAATCTGAGAGAAAAAAATGTTGCTTCTCCAATATACAATTATATATGGATAAAGGAAATCCCTTTTAAGGCATCATTTCTTATGTGAAGAATTTTGAGGAACAAACTTCCTATTGATTCCTCAATGTCTAGATTTAATATAAATGCAAATTCATCTCCGAGTTGTTCTTGTTGCAGGATTGCCCAACATGAAACTAATGATCATTTGTTTGCAGTTAGTGACATGGCCAGGCAAACTTGGTCCCAGATATATATCTAGACCACTTGGTTTCAATATCACAGGAAACACAGTCAACTCAATTGTGTGGCATTGGTGGAGGCAACATCCAAAAAACAACCTTCACAAATATATTTTTCTCATCACTCCTATTATTGCATGTTGGGAAATCTGGAAAGCCAGATGTATACAGAGATATGAAAAGAAAAAAGTTACTGCTTCTAACATATGCTTTCAAATTCTTTTTCAGGTTAAAACAACTATCAAAAAGAAGTTCAAATTTATAGATTACACCTGGAATTGGAGCAAAGTATGTCTTATGGCGGAAAACTTTAAAGCAATAATCACAAGCAGCATGATATACTGGAACAGGCCTAATGGAAATAATTGGAAGCTCAACACCGATGGGAGTTACATGAGAAACCAAAACAAAGCTGGAGCCGGAGGAATTGTTAGAAATAGTATTGGGGACATGATTATAGCTTTCTCATACCCTACTTAATGCTACACTAACAATTATAGCGAGGCTCAAGCAGCTTTGATTGGTATCTCTTGGTGTCTTGGTCAACAATTTGAAGCTTTGGATGTAGAACTGGATTCTCAAGTTGTGGTTCGAATGATTAATGAGAGTTGTAAACCATCTTGGAGAATCCACAACCTTATTGAAGACATCAAGAATAAGATTGCTCAAAGAAACATAACAGTAAAACATTGTTACAGGGAAGGAAATGAAGTTGCAGATGCTCTTGCTCAGTACGCTACTACTATACAAGAGCCGATCATTTACTTTCAGGAGTCTAAACTTCCGGCCGAGGTTAGGGGTCTTTTAATAATGAATAAACTTCACTTGCCTTCTTTCAGGAGAAGACCAAAAAAGGCCTCTTTCTGGCACTACGACCCTCCATAATTCATTTCATCGCTTGTTTCTTCCGTGTGCTACATTCTAGGTGTTTTATTTGGGTGCATCACATGGGAGATTAATGACTTAAGATCCTTTTCTGATCATAATCTCTATTAGGATTTTTTTGTATTCTATGATGTAAAAGGAGGTAAGGCTCGATGTCCCCCTCCAACTTATGTATTTTTATATATATGTAGTGAAATGGGGAAAAAAATAAAGAGATAATTATACACTTAAATAAAAGTCCACAATTTTATTGAAAAAATTATATAAATCGGCCCGACTAAGTTCGGTTCGGACGATTTTTCATATTCTTTTGACACCCCTTATAGTTAGCATCAGAACAATTGGAAAAAAGAGGAAACAACATAAAACATATTATTATTGATTAGTTGACCACTCTGATACATGCATGTATCGTGAGTCAGATTATGTGTGCTTTATTCCAGACACAGTGTATCCAAAGCGTAATTAACATGTATCTAGAATACTTCAACTCGTTCGCCTCTCTTCCTCTCTCATTTGAGTTTCACAATTTCATGTATTTGTATATTAAGTATATATATCATGTATTTCATGTGTATCCAAAAGCAATTTCATATGACAGGCTTGATATCAACTTCATCCAATACTATATCTGGTATCAAATATCTAGTGTATTTCGTATCAAATATGATGTATTTGAAGCAAACTCGATCAATGTATCTATTTTATCTGTGCATAGATATATGTACACTGATATCAAATATGAACTGATACGTTTATCAATTACGTACGTATGTCTAAATGTCATCACCACGAGCAAAAAAAAGGAAGAGAGAAAGAGAAAGATGGGAGAGAGGGATAGATAGGGAGGAAAGATGTGAGCAAGAGTGATTATATAACTATTTTAAATTATAATGAAATTTAGGAGATGTGATAAAGATGTTTGTCAAGTAGTTTTTACGCGGACTAATTAAATTGGAAGGATGAAAAAGATAAAATATGTTATTCAAAGGCAATGATGAGATTATATAACTGATTAATTAATTAAGAAATACTTATAATTACTCAATTAATTATAGTGTTTCGGTTCGTCAAAAATTAATTATTTCGTTACATGGGGAACTAGCACATACTATTTGAACGTACGTAGGGCTGATTATCACCCAATTTTTCTCATATAATTAAGAACTTGAGCGTAAGTTTGCAGGTAAATTATATTATACTTAATTTGGATCGAGCCTTTCATTCTACTACCAGGAATAAAGCCAATAAGAATTACATGCATGTATATAATAGTATTTGTGATAAATATATTTAAATTACAATTGGAATGAATCAATTACACTTGAAATGAAATAAAAAATGTGATGATATAATTAAAAAATCAACAAACGAAAAATAAATAAATAAAAATCACTTGATTAATTCACAACCCTACAGTTCTTCCTAATCTCTCCTTGCATCCCAGTCATAACCTCTATGGATCCCATTTTCACCATTGCATCTGCAAATTTATGAGCCCAATTTTCACCATGAATCGCATTACTCCTCGCCATCCTAGCAGTTGAAGGACTGTTCCATAGCGTCTGATCTGAGGTTAACAGTCCTCTATTGTTCTTCAAATTGAGATAGTACTTATTGTCCAACCTATTTGGAGTATCAACATCAAGTGGAGCAATTAGATCGGTGATAGAAGGACGCGGACATCTTTTCATCAATTGTTGGGCTAATCTAGGATCCATTGTAGGATCTTGCGGATGAGTTGAATTGAAAGAGTAAAGTCTATCGGAAAATGAAGAACAATGTGATCTTCCAATAGAATGTGCACCTGAAAGTGTTACCATTTCATCTAAAGAAAGTCCTTTTTTTGCGAAATTTTCCTCTAGCTCTCCAGCATTTAAAGTGGAAGGGGGAAGGTGTGCGGTTGGTTCATCTTTAATAGATACTCTTCCGTCTCGACGACCTGATGGAACTGAATATCTAATGCCTCCAAGCTTAAAAGCACTATCTCTTGCAGCAAATGCAATTATATCTGAACATGAAACTGTTTGTGGGCAAACAGATTCTAGCTCAATTTTTGCCTCATCGATCACTTCATAGCCTCGTAAGCTTGGATTATTTGCTGGATGTTCTTTTTCTGTTGGATTCCCTGGAGTTGGATCCAAAAGGATTGAAGCATCACATCCCTGAATTATTTTTAAAAAAATTAAGTTAGATATTGTTAGTTGAACCAACCTTTTATTAATTTTTAACGTTCACAAAGTCATTGAAAAAATTATTTGGCTCTCCAAATAGTAGCACATGCATTTTCATAAAATGGGAGGAATGTACGTACCCTAACAAAACAATCGTGGAAATGCATCCTGATGATGCCAGCGCCAAGGCCAGGGTTACGAGACACAGCTTTGTTCACTGCTTTTCTTACGATAGATTCTGCATTTGGGCAACTTGAATGATAGTAACCAACCTTAAGAGATGCATTTGCAAATGTAAAAACATGAGTGAAAAAATATAACATGAACAAAGTTGACAATTTAGCACTCTTCATCATTATGTGTTAATAGGGATAAGAAGAAGGGATTTGAAAAGCTTATAATCAGTACTGGCGTAATATATGGTTGCTTAGTTACTATTTATGAAAATGAAGAACTTACGACTGATGAAAGGGAAAAGAGAAGGATAGTGTATTTATAGGAAAGGAATTGAAGCAAAAGTCATTGATTTTACTTGGTAAGATAGATAGATTGCTAACGCGTACGTAATTTCAATAGCGACTGCTTCTTAGGAGATGGCTTAAGCTTTCAAATAATTTTAATGTTTTTTAATTAATTAGCATGGGAACTGGGAAATGGTCTCTATATTCAGCACATTATTTTTAATCCCTTTCATGAAAACGTTTTTGGTGTTTGCATTTTTATTTTTATTTTTTTACATTTAACCATTGTTAACAAATACAATTATTTTTTCTTGGAACACAAAATCAATAAATTGATTTTTTTGTATTTTTATTTATAACAGCTAAATGAGATCTAAACGTCAAATATTAATATACATTTTGCACCTCACTATAATAATCATTTCAATTTTCAGACAAACGTCGTCACTTCAACGATATTTGACTCAATTTGAACGTACCATCCTTTGCCCATGGTCATGCTACCAATTTTATCTCTCAACTGATCAAATAAGTATCATTTAAGCCCCATTTTGGAAAGGATCTTAATTAGCCTTACAAGGTAAAAATAAGGATGTATATATTTACCGTTTGGCTCTAAATAATAAGTATAAATTATAGGAACCACATATTATAAGTACTAAATAACATCCTATCCTAGTTTTTTATTTACCAAAAATTCCTTAAAAATGATGTTTGCGGGATACATAGCGTTGTGCACGGGATACATTAGGTTTGATACATTCCACATAGCGGGATACATAGTGTTGTGCACGGGATACATTAGGTTTGATACATTCCACATAGCGAGATACATAGCGTTGTGCACGGGATACATGAGGGATACATAGCGATTGATACATTTCACATAGCGGGATACATAGCGTTGTGCACGGGATACATAGGTAAATAAGGAATTTTTAAATTTTTTGAAACAAGTAGGGATAAATGAATACTAAGATAAGTAAATGAGTGTAGTTAAGTAATTTGTCCAAATAATAAACTATAGTTTTCTGTTAATATTGTTGAATTATTTTGATTACGCCGAAACACCTATAAGAACCAATAATTTATACATAAAAAAATCAAGTAAGTCAATTAGTATTATTGTAATATTTGTATTTCTGACCGTGTATTAGGTATACATTAACAAGGAAGAAACATGCATGATTCAGTATAGCCAACAGGCTGCTCAATCAAGAAATTGACCTGCAGACTAGTGTTACACTAGTGGCCAAAATTTAAATAGTACTTTGGTTTAGACTAAACGATGACGTGAGCAATTACAATTTATTTATTTATTTATTTATTTGAAACTGTATATGGTGTTTTGATTTTGGAGTCATATAGTAATACCAAAGTATTTATTTATTTTGTTATTTACATCGTACTCTTGTCATTTTTTATAATAACAATGTGCTCTGCAATGACATATATATACACTAGATAAATTATTCGTACTTCTCACGATATTGGACTGTTTTATTAAATTTATATTTGATCATTCGATAATATTTGTATTTTCGATATATATACTACATTGTCAAGAACATTTTATCTCAAGGCAAGACACTCCTCCAATATCTTAAAGTGCTTAATTTTTTTTATTTTCGTTTTTGTTATACAAAAATTATGAGTCAGAAAGAGATTTTAAGCATAACAAAGAAGTCTATGAAAATCTCCATGGAAATAGTTGGTCAGATATAATTTTTTTTTTAAAATTCCAAGAAGTTATAAAGAACAATATCAGACGTTAAAGAAGACACCAAAAGCCTCGAACAACACTCCCAAGTAAAGTGGAACATTGCATCCATAAAAGAACATAGTTAACTAAATTCAAAGGTCCTCCACGGCTCCTTTCTTATGAACCTCCATCAATCTCTCTTTTATTATTGTTGTTGTATCATGTATATGTTAAAAATGACCCTAAAATTGTTAGTATCATAAATGTTTTTCCTCATTGTCTCAAAATAGTCATTACTATTGCTTAGGTTTCATATCACCGGCCCCAACTTATTTAAAATTGAACTTAGTTATTGTTACGGTTATAGTATGTAGTTACAAAGAATTAATGCAATTATCAACCAAGCAGTAGGTGACATCTGAATGGAACTGTTCACAACTGGATATTCTAAATCAAAATTTTGACACATAACATATTAAAATCTTACAGCATAATTTTGTGAGCACTTGAACTCACAAATATCCACAAATAATAATAAAGACGACCTTACTTTCCTAACAATCAAGAAGAAAAAGGCATGTTGCTTACCATATTTTTCAAAAAGATAGTGTGTCGGGCTGTATCCAAGTTTACAGTTCACAAGTTGAATTTAAAGAAGCCAAAAGAAACAACTATTACTTCTTTATCAAAAAAACAAAAAAGTTTATCAAAAGAAAGAGTTATCACTACAATAAAAATGATCTTTGACGGCAATTAATAGCTTAATTGTCGCTAAATATGTATTTTAGGCAATTGATACTCTCTATAAATGTCCCTAAAGCCTATAGCAACATTGAATCTAATAAAAATTAACTTATGATGGTAAATGGTCTAACACTCTTCGTTAATGTGCATATTTATTGTCAATAAAAAATATTTTTGTTATAGTGTATTTTGGACATTTGTTAGTTTCAAGAAAACTTGATCTCTTATTATGCCCAAAAAGAAGAGACGATGAATTAGTTAACTTGCGATAAAAGAAGTGGATTAATTGTCTCTATACTAATATTCTAGGAAGAGTGCAATGTCATACAAATGTTTGTACATAAGAAAAAACAATCAAAATAACATACTAACTGTGGCAAGCAAGAGAGCAATCTGTTTGGTTCTTTTAACAAACTTCATCATTGGTTCCGTATTAGTTATCACATATTTGTTGTTGAGTGCTATCAAATATAGCATAGGCCACAAGCAATTTCCCCAAAAATTATATGAAGAAACTTGTAGAAAGGAACAACAGAGAAGGTAAATTTTCAATCATCCTCACTGAAATTTCTAACAAAGTTAAAAAAAGTCACCATTATAGCAAAAAGAAATTGCAATAGATACATGAATCACTATGACTTACAATAAAGATTAAGCTTCATGAAATAGAAGGAAGAAAACTTTGAGTAATGAAACACATTTCATAAGAAGCTTAATTAATGTATTTGAATTCGACTCCCCTATAGCAATAAAAACCTACAAATAATAGTGACAGACATAAAGTTTTGGTTCTAAAAAATCAAATATAATGAATTCAACCATTTCAGTAGCGTTATGAGTTGTGGACTGAGAGGTGAAAGAGTAGTAATGTAGCATTGCAATTGAATCAATTTTCTTTGTTTATATAAAGAAACCTGCAGAAAGGGACAACAAAGAAGATCAATTTTCAATCACCCTTGCTGAAATTTTTAACAGAGTTAAAATAAAGTCACCAAAATAGCAAAACAAAATTGTCATAGTTACATGAATCACTACGACTTATAGTAAAGATTAAACTCCATGAAATAGGGGGAAGTAAACTTTGAGGAATGAAACAAACTTCATAAGAAGATGAATTAATGTATTTGAATTTCTCTACCCTGTAGCGGAAAAAACCCTACAAATAATAGTGGCAGGAAATCCCTCTATTTAAGACAACAAAGGGTAGTGTGAAAAATGTTTTTTGTGCCTTATCGGAAATGTCACAATTCTTGAGAAAAGTTACAACCCTTATGAAAGGTCACAACCTTTCATAAAAGTCACATTTTTTCATAAAAGTCACAACTTTTCATAAAAGTTACAACTTTAAAATCACAACTTTTCATGAAAGGGAAAGGCTAGTTTTGAAAATATATAAACTAAAAGGGAATTTTGGTTTGTGATGGCGCCACGTAGGTGGGCCTAGGATTCTCTATTATATATAAAAATAAAATATATGATAGTATTTATTTAATTTTAGTAAGTTTTCATATATATTGTTATGCGTAATGAAAACGCTAGCGAATATGTTCTCTATTCGCCATCGTCGGGTACGTTCCTTTCATCACACATATAAATATCTTTTGTTTGGGCTCTAATATAAGACTGCATTTCTATCAATATTATTGAATCTTTTTTTTTACTACCAAAACGCCAGCCACGTCATAAGAACCAAAAGGTAAAAAAAAACAAGAAAGCCAATTATTAAATAAAAATTTTGACCGTGTGTTTGCCAGCAGGAAGTTCAATCAAGAAAGTGGCCTGCAGCTTTACACTAATGGAATAATGGGTAAATTTTAATACTTTAGTTTGTATTAAGAGGTGGCTGAGAATTTTTTTTAATTTATTTTTTTAACAGTTTAGGCGAATCTAAAAAGGTGGAAGTTTTTTTTTTTAAAAAAAAACTTCTAATTGACCTATAATATGAAAGTCAAGCCAATACTCAAAGATTTTACCTACTTAATTACTTCCTTTTGGATTGCATCACAATAATAGGACAAAAACTACAAGGATGAAAAAAATAGATGTGTATTAAAAAGAAACGATGAAACTATATAACTGATTAATTATATTATGAAATACTATAATTAAAAGGGTAACATGATGATTATATTAGGCAATGGTTGGATTAATCCTTTCTTGGTGGGGTGATTGTGGTAGCTCCACATACTCATGCAAAGTCCCTGATATTTCCATCGAATTTGTTGACGTTGTAATTGCAAGAACCATTTCTGTTAATTGCCATGGCCACGACGAAGAATCCATGTAGATATAAGTAGTCATTTATAGGTTTATATATATGTGCAATAGAGATATAGATGCACAAGATTTGAGAAAATATGTGATTGAGTAACCCTATTTATAATGATAAAAAATCAAATTTGATAAGTACTATAAATTATATTCTAGAAATGTTTCTATTATTTAATCGATAAATTAATATTTATTAATTAAAGGGGTGTTATGATATTCAATAAAGGTTAATTTCACATCAAAATCATTATATCTTACTATTTTATGTATCATATTTACTGAATTCACATAAAAATAAATTTATTATTTATAAAGTACAATGTATATGCATGATTCATTGTAATATATTTTTGTTAAATAATTCATTGTAAAAGTAAATTCATTATAGATTAGTGTTTATTGTTTCTTAATAATCAAATATTATTTATTGTATTTTTACTAAAAAGTAAAAATATTGATTGTATGATGGTGAAAGAATAAATGATATAAGCAACATAAGAAATTTCTTGAAAGTATATTCAAAAGTGACTTCTCATTTAAAAAGTGTCACAAAATAAAAACACAAATTTAAATTACAATTGGAAAGAATCGGTTACACTTGTTCTTGACATTGAAAATGAAATAAAAAAGTGATGATACAATTAAAAAATCAACAAACCAAAAATTAAAGAAAAATCACTTGATTAATTCACAACCCTGCAGTTCTTCCTAATCTCTCCTTGCATCCCAGTCATAACCTCTATGGATCCCATTTTCACCATTGCATCTGCAAATTTATGAGCCCAATTTTCACCATGAATCGCATTACTCCTCGCCATCCTAGCAGTTGAAGGACTGTTCCATAGCGTCTGATCTGAGGTTAACAGTCCTCTATTGTTCTTCAAATTGAGATAGTACTTATTGTCCAACCTATTTGGAGTATCAACATCAAGTGGAGCAATTAGATCGGTGATAGAAGGACGCGGACATCTTTTCATCAATTGTTGGGCTAATCTAGGATCCATTGTAGGATCTTGCGGATGAGTTGAATTGAAAGAGTAAAGTCTATCGGAAAATGAAGAACAATGTGATCTTCCAATAGAATGTGCACCCGAAAGTGTAACCATTTCATCTAAAGAAAGTCCTTTTTTTGCGAAATTTTCCTCAAGTTCTCCAGCATTTAAAGTGGAAGGGGGAAGGTGTGCGGTTGGTTCATCTTTAATAGATACTCTTCCGTCTCGACGACCTGATGGAACTGAATATCTAATGCCTCCAAGCTTGAAAGCACTATCTCTTGCAGCAAATGCAATTATATCTGAACATGATACTGTTTGTGGGCAAACAGATTCTAGCTCAATTTTTGCCTCATCGATCACTTCATAGCCTCGTAAGCTTGGATTATTTGCTGGATGTTCTTTTTCTGTTGGATTCCCTGGAGTTGGATCCAGAAGGATGGAGGCATCACATCCCTGAATCATATAAAATTTGAAGTTAGATATTGTTAGTTGGACTAACCTTTTACTAATTTCAACACACAAAATCAAAGAAAAAAATTGATTGACTCTCTAAACAGTAACAAGTTCACATAAAATGAGACGTACCCTAACAAAACAATCGTGGAAATGCATCCTGATGATACCAGCGCCAAGGCCAGGGTTAAGAGATACGGCTTTGTTGACTGCTTTTCTGACAATGGATTCTGCATTTGGGCAACTTGAATGGTAGTAACCTTTCTTAAGAGATGCATTTGCAAATGTAAAAATAGTGATAAAATATAAGATGAACAAAGTTGACAATTTAGCACTCTTCATCGCTATGTGTTATTACAAGAAGAAGGGATTTGAAAAGTTGATAATCAATCAGTTGAGTAATATTATATTGTAATGATGGAGGGGAAAAGAGATGGATAGAGTATTTAAAGGAAATTAAAGAGATAGAAAGCACAAGTCTTTGATTTTACTTGGTAAGATAGATAGATAGCTAACGCGTAATTTCAATAGTGACTGCTTCTTAATTAGGAGATGGCTTCAACCTTCAAATAATCTTTAACACTTTGAAGTATTCTTAATTAATTAGTGGGAACTGGGAAATGGTCTCTATTTCCAGCTACATTATTTTTAATCGCTCATATTTAAATATTAAATAAAGTTCGAATTTATGTTTTATCCAATAATGTAACCAAATTTACTCGCTAATTATATTGTCTCTCAACTCCATGTCTCCAACAGGCTTTTTGTTGGACAACAATTAAACTTCGTTATAATAACCCTTTGTTTTTATTATAATGATCTGATTTTCTCTAGAATCGATTTTTAATGTTACATTTTGCTTCTCTATAACAATATTCAAACTATATATAACAATAATAATATTTACTATAACGGTAGTGTTTTGTAAAATTACCCCTCTATATCAGTTATATACAAATATTGTGTAATTAGAGTAATATTTTGTAAGAGCTATATTATGTAAATATTTTTGAAGTGCTAGATTATGTTTGAATGTCAAACACAGTAAAATTCAAGTATGAATATCTAAAAATGATAAAATTGTATTTAAATGGCGTTCTTCAGTTATGATCATATTTTCACGAGAAAAGTTATAGGTTATTTGTATTTGCCTTTCTTTTTACCTTCATACTCTTTCTATTTGGTTAGATTGGTTATAAATATATTCCTTCTTAATTTTTGTTACACAAAATCATTAAACTTAGATTTTGCTTACTTTTCTTTATAATACTCCGTAACTAAATAAGATCTCAACGCTAAATATCAGTGTATATATATATATATATATATATTATTAATTATTATTGAATTATTTTGACTACGCCGAAACGCCTTAAGGAAGCAAAAACAACAAAAACAAATGCAAGAAAGTCAATGATTACTAATTTATTGTTCGTTGTAATATTTGTATTTCTGACCGTCTCTGTTAGGTATTAATATACTAACGAGTAAAAAACATGCATGATCCAGTATAGCCAACAGGCTGTTCAATCAAGAAACTGACCTGCAGATTAGTTTTACACTACTGGGCAAAATTTAATATTTTAGGTTGAATTAAATGGTCACGTGAGAGATTACAATTTATTTATTTTTGAAACAGTTTATGTGTTTTGATTTTGGAGTCTTATAGTATACGAAAGTATTTATTTAGATTGTATTCACGTCATTTTTCATGATAATGAAGATGTGTGTAAGTTTAGATCATTCATTTTGCAATGACATGTATAGAGTATTTTGTTAGATATCAAAATTTTGAATATCTCATATTTTTTGGATATTCATAAAGAGATCATGAATACATCAAATATTGTCTTTCTCAAATAAACACATTGAGTACCTCGTAAACACTGGAATATTCATAAAGAGATCAAGAAATATATCGTACTCGGACTCTTCTAATCTTCTTGAGAATCAAATACTTCAAGAAGATCAATCCAAATAAATCCCAAGAAGATCTAAATCATCTTATGGATATTTGGACATTTAACTTTGAAAAAGAATAATTACCTACATATTTGCAAAGTAATCGTATTTGTTGAGGACAAACTTTCAGAGTTGGGCGTTTGTTTGGAACGATTATTCGTTTGAAAATCCCGTATTATTCTTTTCCTTACCATAATTTAAATCATTAAATAGTTGTATTTTGTCGGTCTCAATTTATGTGACACTTTTCAAATTTAAATTATTTTTAAAAAAAAAGTCTTTTTTTTTCTTTTACATACTCACAATCAAAATTAAATTATTTGCCTCTCTAATATGGCACAGAGGGAGTAATATTTGTTGAAGGAAATAAAGAATACCGAAAAGAATAATATATGCACGAATGACCCAAAAAAGAGTATATAGGAAAAGAAAATATGTGACAGAGCATCATTATTATTTATAAAAAACTAGAAAACCAAATTAAGTTAGGCTTAAACTTAAAAAAAGAAATCTGATAACTAGACATAAATTAAATAAATAAATAAATACGAAGTAATAAAACGGGTAACATGATAATTATATTAGGCAGAGGTGGGATTGGTGCTTTCTTGGTTAGGTGGTTGTGGTTGCGGTTCCACTTGCAGTTGCTCAACAAACACATGCAAAGGCCCTGACACTGCCGTCGAATTTGGAACCCTATTAAATGCAACAATCACTCGCGTGAACTTCCATGGCGACGACGAAAAATCCATATTTACCTTGCAGACGTACGTAGTCATTGTTCTAGATTTATAGAGATTTATGAAAATATGAGATGGAGGACCCTATTTTATAATAATAGAAAATCAAATTTGATTAGTACTAGAAATTTTATTCCAATACGAATTGGACAAATAAATTTGGTCTACTTCCATTTAGACTGACCTGGCTCTGGCTTAGAAGACGGAATTTCATGAGATGTAACAGAAGTCGTAGAGATAAAAGTAGGACTAAGACTAAATGACTCAAAACTAGCATTGAAAGTAGGTCCCTCTAGGAGAACTGAACTGCCTTGATCTGAATCTCTGGAACTCACAGAAGACCAAGGCAAGTCCACTCTCAATTCAGCATAAGCTTGGGATCTTTCTTTCCTAAAGCAACTAAATCCTATACAACTTAGGTTTCTTGATTTATTTGTACTTTTACTAATTAGGGCGTTTTCGATATATGTATATTTTTGGAATATTTCTAAATACGTATTACTATATTACACACACAAAAAAAAGTGTTTTGCTGGAACAGGCAGATGTTCTCGTACAGTTAGTTTCCAGGCAAAACAAAAGGATCTCAATTATTCTTAAAGGTCCCAATTGTAACAAAACAATATCAAAAGGCAAATTAAATATCCAACAAAGTTTCTTCTTAATTGCAAGAATGCAACACAAGTCTTCTGATTTGGCACTTACGCTTCAGACATAATGCAATCAATTGCCCCTTTGCAAATTCCAGTCATTGTTGCCTCTGGTCCATAAACCTGCAATAGTAGAATCGACACCAATTATATACCTTATCTCTTACTTTCCTTGGATATGAAAATTTAGGAAGTAGGCACATATATTGTATTAATAACAATACTGGTAAGAGCATCTTTGGAAGTTCATGTTCCTATATTCTAACTGGAACCTGTTGTAGTCTAGATGTCTGACCTCAAACGATCCTCAGACATCTATGAAATGGAATGAAGATGGACCAAGCTACTTATGAATGTAATCACCATGGTCGGGCTAATTAATTTAGTTGGGAAGATGTAACAATAAAAATAGAATGCCTAGTATCAAATAAAAGCAAATTCAGATCAACAACATCCCTTCATCTGTGGCATGTGTGGTTAGTATCTATGTTGCTTGAATCCTCCAAAAATGTCAAAGTATTACATGCTATAATTGAAATTCAGGGACTGTAGTCACAGTAACACTTGGTATAAGAACTTTGCCAAGTGTGATTTCATACCTCAAGGGGAACTCCAAGTTCCTCTCCTAGGGCGCGCATTTTTGCTAGACCAGTCTGATAATTTGGACCACCTCTTCGTACATAGATATGCATTCTAGCCGCTTTTAGCTTGGCTTCCTGTTCGGATTTAAAGGAAAAACATTATTTACTGCCTCTTATCTATAGGAAAAGTAAAAAACTTCTAGTGTAAATAATAGCGCACAGCCAACCTTCTCCCTGAGAGCCCGAATAATCCCATTGAAAGTAGCAGCTACATCAGTGAAGTTAGCAATACCACCTCCAACAATCAGAGCTCTCTTACGGCCATCAGGATTAGCAGTAGCACACTATAAAAACATCAAAGCAAACACCGGTTAAGTTAAAATAGGACAAGCACCACATGAGCATGTTGACCAGGAGAGAGAACAGTCAAGCTCATACATCTAGAACTACTCGAGCATATTGCAAAACCTCCTCTTCATTTGGAGCTCCACTATACTCGGCATAGTTACCAAGCTCAGAGGCATAGCCTAAATCCCCTACCTGGTTAAGACGTCAAAAACAGAGTATATAAGCAGTGAGCTATTTGTGTTGACATTTCATGCAGGAGGAATAATGACAAGATAGAAAATATTTCCTTGCATCACAAGTTCTGAATATACTTACAGTATCAGCATATATAACGCTTGCACCACCTCCAGCCACCATTGTCCAGATACGACCTTTTGGGTTCAAAACTGTAAATTTTAAAGAGGCACTAGTCTGCAAGATGTCAAGACAAGACAGAATTAACAGAAAAGCTGCAGATACTATAATCCAATTCCAGTAGAGCAAGTATCATCAGGAAGACCAGAAAGCTTGGCAGGAATGATAGCCAGCCACCAAAGCTCAAGGATAAATCTTTTTAACCTTCAGAAGCATTCAAGACTTAAAAAAATTTCAAACATCTTTTTCCCAAACCCTAACCACCCACAAGTCTGTATGGCACCATGGCTTCAGCACAGAATAAATGGTGAACAATGTAAATTATCACTAATAAACCACTCAATGCTGTTTAAAGGCACGATTTTCTTGGATTATAATGGATCTCTAAAGCAATGCATAAAGTTCCTCCAGTAGTTCAGTATCCATAATACTTCATGACTGAAAATCCAAGATAAAATTTCTTCTCTAACAAAATAATTTCGACAAGAATAAACAAGTAAATCTGATAACTCAGGCAACAAAACACCCTTGGATTAAGACAAATAACTGAACTTACTTTCTCATCCAAAGAGTGAATGAAGCTTTCGGTAGGGCTCAAAACTCTTCCAAAGGGCAGAGGAAACTCGATGCTTCCCCACCTGACAAGGCACAGAGGATGATACAATAGCAAACTGTTTAATAAATCTGGAAATACACACTGTTTTTTCTTCAGACTCTCCCAAGAGAAAGATAAAAAAACCCAAGAATAGGCACTTCAACATGCGGAAAACAAGTGAAAATCACATACTTCTTAAAATTTTTGAAGGCTGCTGTGTCATCCAACTCTCCCCTCATATCCAATGGGTAAGGCTCCCCATTTACAAGCGTAAATGGGTTCATCTCTATGAAACTAAAATCGAGATCTGGGGAATATCAAAGACAAAGCGACAGAGTTGCATAATCAATGAAATAATATTTGAGACTAATGATATGAAAAAAACTATTTCAGTTTAATGAAAAAACTAGCTTCTAAGAACAGGTCAATGTTTAACATAAACCAACAGGAAGTTTATTTTCATCTTCATCTGCTTATATAACAATAAACTTAATTATGTTTTCCTCGTATAGTCACTGGCAATTAGCTAAAAGATAGCACCAAAAGATAAAAGAAAAAGAGAAGTATAACATAAATGCATGCTAGAAAGATGTATCATCGTAAAGCATGGCATACCTTGAAACACATCAAAAACACCCATAAGGAAATTGCCAATCTTTCCCCGTACCTGAGTCAACCAGAAACTTAGGTTAAGTATCATGATGGTTAATGAGATGTTAGTCGTCAAGTGCTTTAATCTTCGAAGTCAGAATATTTATCAACACAAAGGTGAAAGTCCAGCAATAAGTAGACCAATATATAAACTAGATTAATTATCGAAAATAGATACACAATAATACAACCTAAAATAATAATCCTTAAGAATTGCCAGCAATACACAATATGATAACACACTTTTTAAGTGTCTGTTATCCAAGACCTTGCTCTTAGAAAACCATTCCAGCTATTATGACGGACAGATCATGCTGGCCTTATCGAGACTGATGACTAAAAGGAAAATAGAAGTATAAAACAAAAACTAAAATTTCAGTTCACCTCCAAGGGGAGAGTAGCAATCAGTGGAGCACACGCCTCTAGGGTCATAGGTTTCTCTGTTGGAAGGAATATTGTCTTGACCTGTATGTTATAGAAACAAATAAAATCTTGTTATTACAGGGGAAAAAAATATAACTTGACTTTCTAGATATTACCAGAATAAATCGAGTTAACCAGTTTAGTCAAAACAAAAAAATAGTTGTTAGAGGAGGCAACAACAGTTAAAACTTTTTGAACCAACTAACCTTGTCCCAGTTCTCTTCAATCTCAATGCCTCCACATTCTGAAAAGCTAATTGTGCACCCCAACCTTTCAGAGACTATGGAAAGGTAATATTCTTGGTCATGGGGAATAAATGGTTCAACAATAAATGTTGTTATAGGTGCCTTGCAGCCACCCATTTCAACCTAGAAAAAAATTCACACGTAAGATGACTATAACACATAAGAAGCAGTAAAAGATTCAAAATACTTAGCCCTCTGCTCACCTCCACACCAAGTCGTGTTTTTACAAACTCAGCAACTCCTGCTAGATCCAGATTCAAAGCTACCAAGCCACTCTTTCCACGCTTACCAAACAGCATGTCTGGTTTTACAACCAGCTTTGTCGACGAAAGCCATGGTTCTTTGTTTGTTAACTCGGTAAAATCTGTAGATTCTGTCACCTACCAAAAACCAAATAAACATGAGAACTCCGGCAAGAAAAATATCTGAAAAATAACGACAAATGATCACCTTGGAAAATAATCTACATAACCAAATATCAGTACTTCATGTAGAGTATATTCCGTAGTACCAAATACAGATGCACGCCAAGCTTCTTTCAGATTGTAAAGTACATTTCATTTTCATTGGAGGACTCTATAGTAGCTTAAAGAGGTGCTTTCCAAGTAAATCTACAATAGGCAGATAACTATTCTAACAACACACGATTGTCCACTCAACAAGAGCTTCCACAAACATAAGGATCATTCTTTGCATTGGAAAATACATCATGACCTCTACATATCTTCACAAACACAATGCATTCAACATAACAACAAAGGAATCATTCAACTCTAACGTTCGGGATAACAAAAATAGGGAATAAGTAAGTAGTGAGGAACAAAAGGAAGCAGGGGACAACGGATTCGAGCTGAACTGATCAAACAACAAACACCCAGATAAGAAAAAAGACGCATAGATCAAAAACCACTTGCAAAAGATCAAAAGAACAACTCCTAACCGAAATTCCGATTAAAATTCGACAGTAACAGTTCAATAACTTAAGTTTAAAAAAGAAAGAAAAAGGAATTTACTTGAGCAGAGCAGATCTGAAGATCGATTCCAGCAAGGCGTTTCAAATGCTCCTTTAGAAGCCTCTTTGAATCATACTCTCTGATCTTCTTCCTCGCCATATTACTCTGTTTTCCTAACAATCCAAACAAACGACAACTATCTCTCTCTCTCTTACACAAAACAATTATACAAACAGTTGGTGGGTATATAATTGATTACAAAAAACAAAGATCTAAGAGTAGGAAATTAGCTTAAGGTAGAAGAATTGTGGGTATTCACCAAACTGGTGAGTGAGATGAATGAGCTGAGGAGGAGGGGGGTGGGGACAGGGGATTAGGTAGTTGGGCGTTTTTAACAATGGAACATACTGTATTGGCAAGAATGATGCTGCCTCATTTCATAATCCAAATAAACTTTTCTTTATTTGCCTTCTATTAATTAAATTAAAATCCCATCATTATCTTATCTAAATACTAAAATATTATTTAATGTCTTGTACTTTTTAATATGTCATGTGAAAAATTAAAATTAAAAATTTACTAAAAACAAATTTAAAACTTACCTAAAAAATGCGATAAATAAATTAAAATGGAAAGAATATCACCTCTTTTTAACAATATTAAAAGCTTTTTTGATAATGACTATCATTGAGATTTGAACTTATTAATATCTTATATCGTATGTTCTAACGTATCATGTAAGACAATGTAATATAATGATATTAAGTTATTCAATTTTTCTTAAATTTAGTTGCAAGTGGAATTTTTCATCTTCAAATTGTCAATCATTCACGAATACAAATTGTATTTTATTGTTGATATTTTAACTATTACTACTATCTTACTAGTAAGAAAAAGATAGAAGAGGAATGTGTTCTGGTTATTTATTACTTATACTATTTTTTAATGTTCTTTATTCATTAATTATATTGATCTAATTCTTAATATCCATAGGAACTTAAATTAGTAGACCAAGTTCACATAGCTTGAACACGATTTTAAAACCTATTCAAACAATTCAGCCTCAAAAGTTCAAATTTAAATAATATATAATTTAAGAATGAATATATACAACAATACATATATATATATATATATATATCTTGTTGTTAAACGGTAATTGGATATAATGTATGACTAATATAATTTTTTTGTGATTTTAAATCACAATTAGCCCTACCTTTAGATAATAAAAAGTGCATTTTAACATCGTAATTCATTGGGAGGAAAATTACTCATATTAGATATTTTCACATATAAGCATGTTTCGATGTTGATTAATAATATTTTTATATTATTTTTATCAATAATTATGGTAAACTAATCCAATTAATTAGGTGTAAAAGCAAGTGTAGATTAGTTTTTCACCACTCGCGAGTGGATTATTTTGTTATCTAACGTTGCTGACATTATTTGAGATTGGATTTTATCCTAATAAAAAATTTAGTAGAATAATTATTTGCATAGACAAGTAAATTCTTTTCAATTGCAATTGATCTTAAAAAAATAATTAATTTGTTTTTCATTTACTTCGTTATACATATTTTAATAGCGTCTTTTAAAAAGAAATTCTTCTCTAATATTTTTATATCGATCCAGTAAAATACTCTTTTGGGATTTTTTATTTTTTTTTACTTAAAACATAACTAGACAACAAGCTTACAAGTTTAAGTTGTTGACAAAGAAAATTATGTTGACACTTAATTATTCTCCTTTACGAGTTAAGTGAAATAAAATCCACATATGTTAAATATGATGGTAGAATGGGTATTGTTATGAACTAAGTCCAACTCAATGTAGATACTAATATTATACAAGTTGTTATTGGTCGACAAGAGCTATTGGGCCGAGAACGAGCAATAGGGCCAAGTTAATTTGGGATCTAGGTTGAGCAAGTGGACATGAAATGGTTCAATAAAAAAAGGCAGTGATATGTGATTTAGGGATTATGCAAATTGTTGAGAAACAATCCTTCATGAAAACCCTCTTTAAAGCCTATATCGTGTCGTTTAAGGCACAATAACCGTCTTTCATGTTAGATTCATCGTTGGACCTTGTTACATGCTGAAAAAGACTTATTTCTTTGAGTCTATGCTCTTCATCTCCCTTCTAGTTATCTTATACAATAGTTTTTTTGTTGGTTCCATTTTCCGTTGTAACTTCAAGTTTAGTAATTATAATATTTGAATGTTTTCATTGTGAAATTGGAATTGTTACCGGTATTAATATTTTTTTGAATTGGAAGAAGTCTTTAGGATAGTGATGATAATTGAATCTTAGGCTTCACTGTATTTAGTCTATAAATAAATGCATTTTATGTTCAATTTCAAACCCCCTTTTAAAGATTTTATTATTATAATCCAATATATTTTTCAATCACTGGAACTATGTAGATAAACTAACAATATGACCACCGTCAATACAGATAAAATCTACTTTAATGATTCTATTTTGAAATGTTCCTTTATCCTCAATAATTTTTCTTTGTGCGCGAGTAGAAATGAAGATATGCTTATTAAATGGTTCATGAATTATTTTCTATTCTGCTATATTACATAAACAACATCATGTGACCTTCAAAAAATTTGAAACCTAAACAATAGAGAAAAAATGAAATGGACCAAATATATAACTAAATAATATTATTTTACTAATTTTGTACGTTATGTAGGATTCGTTAATACTTCAATTAGCTGATGTTATTATTTTTTCGTGCATAGCATATGTAAATAGTACGATGTTCGACCCCTTCAAATTATACTTTCAATACTTAACAGATGGAGTCCAAAATAGAATGTGCGTTGTTTAAATGGAACTGAATTATGCATTTTGTATCTAAGTTGTATAAAAAGATAATGTAAAAATGTAAGATAACTAAATCGTAATGTCAGTTAATTAAGTCATTAACTAATCCATACATGGCGATAGTGGTACTATTGTGACACTACCACAACTATTTCTTTAGCAATTTTTTTTTATTAATACTCTATCTCCTTTTATGTCGTAAAAAAAAGAGGGAGAGATTAAAAGTAGCTATTTTATTAAAGATGGTGTTACTTAGTATTCTAGGGGTCATTATGTAAATACTAGAAGTTAGTGGATTAGATGGAAAAGAGTTAGTTAGAGGTAGTTACATTAGATTCCTTTCTTAATTGTATATATAGGTACAGATCCTCTACAGTGAGAGATTAATGGAGTTCATATGAAATTTCTACTTCTCTTCTCCAAGAACATTCTAGGCTAACAGAATTGCTCTTCAACCTATCTTCTTCTTGATAGTTCACATGGTATCAGAGCGGTGATCGAATCTGTGCTTCAACTACTCGAAGTAGCAAGAACATGGCAACCATTGACAATGAGCTACCAGAAAAGTTGAGTCATAATCATCCTCTCTTCTTACACACCATTGATAATTCTGGTGTTCTGCTCAGTTCAATTCAATTGACTGGAGCCGATAATTTTTCTGTATGGAGTCGAGCGTTAAAAATTACAGTTATAGGTCGGAATAAACTTGGATTTCTTGATGGTTCTTACAAAAAGGAGTTATATGGCCCTAATTTGGTGAATCAGTGGGAACGTTGCAATGCAATTGTATTATCATGGATCATGAATTGCGTTTCAAAGGAATTACTTTGAGGGATCGTCTACTCTACAAATGTTTCTGCTGTATGGAAAGATCTGACTGAACGCTATGATAAAGTCGATGGATTTCGCATCTTCCAATTGCACAAAGAGATTGCAACTATCAGTCAAGGTACAAGTTCGATCTCAACATATTTCTCTAGATTGCGTGAAATGTGGGTAGAATATGATAGCATAACTCCTGTTCCTAGTTGTGAATGTGTGAATTCAAGTGAATTTGTGAAGTTTGTGCATAATCAGAAGCTGCTTCAGTTTCTTATGGGGTTGAATGATTCATATGAACAAGCTAGAGGACAAATTCTAATGATGGTACCTCTCCCTTCCCTGAACAAGACTTATTCACTTTTGATTAAGAGAGAAAGCCAGCGTACCATCTCTCAAACTGCCAGTAGTTCTAATTGTTCTGAATTAAGTGCTATGTTCACTATTGGTAATATGTCATCCCCAGTGCCTAGGCCAAAGTCTAGCTATGATCCAAATGCATTCTGTGACTACTGCAAACGGACAGGTCATACTCAAGCAATTTGTTATTAGCTGCATGGGTATCCACCTGGATTTGAAAAGAGGAAGAAAGGCCCTAACAACACTTTCCAAGGAAGAGGTAGAGCCTCTAATGATAAGAGGTCATATCCAGCTGCTCATAGTGCAATTAGTGATGGTGATCTAGACTATAACAGAGGAGTAAATCCCATGGTTCCAAGAACTCAGGGACATGGAAGAGGCTTTAGATACACTGAACAGTCTGATTATGAAAGAGGTGTTAGACATAATGACCATACTGACTATCACAAAGATATGATTGTGTTACATGAACAGTATAATCAAATCCTACATATGCTTGGTCAGTCTAATGTTCAGGGAGGCACTGAAGCAACAACATCCTCATCAGGACATTCCAGTGCTAATTTAGCTCAGGAAAACTACACTTCAGCAGGTAATGTAACTGCTCTCATAGTAGATTCAGCTTATACAAGTTGGATTGTAGATTCGGGGGCAACAAATCACATGACTTTATGCTCAGAAATGCTTACTCATAAACACCAACTACCTGATAATAAGCCTAGAAGTGTTCAGTTGCCAAATGGTGAAACAACTCTAATTACACATACGGGCTCATGTCGAGTAACTCCTAAGGACATAATCAACAATGTTCTCCTAGTTCCTGAATTTAAATTCAATTTACTGTCAATTTCACAACTTACCAAAGATCTTAATTGTGCAGTATGTTTCTTTCCTGACTTTGTTGTCATTCAGGACCTCTCAAATGGGCAGGTGAAGGAGATTGGTAGAGAGCATGCTGGACTCTACCTTCTGCCAAATCACAACTCACCTATAGAAACAACCCCTCAATGCTCTTCTCACTTAGCACATGGTGGCATTTTTTCTGCAACAGAATCTCAGCCACTGTTATGGCATCAAAGGCTAGGCCACACTTCCTCCAGTGTTCTGGCTCGTCTACTTGCTATTTCCCCTACTCAATGCTCTAAAGATCTCCACAGCTGCACCATTTGTCCCTTAGCCAAGCAACATAGACTTCATTTTCCCAACAGTATTACTGTGTCCACATGTTCTTTTCAATTACTACATATTGATGTTTGGGGGCCTTTTAACACCCCCACCTATGATGGCAACAAATTTTTTGTTACTATAGTAGATGATTGTACCAGAATGCTATGGATATTCCTAATAAAACTAAAGAGTGATGTTTGTGTAGTTTTGAAAAACTTTCTCATTTTTGTTAAAAATTAGTTCAATGTTATAGTGAAAACTATTAGGA